GGGGGGGGGGGGCCGGTTCGTGATATACGTTCTTCGTTCGGGCAGTTGATAAAAGTTGATACGTCCCTGGCCAACGAGACGCACCGAAGACCGGGCTTCGGTCGGATGAAGCAAAGCTAACTCACCTCGTGCTACATTCCGCCGCTGCTTCCCAACGTTTCGAGGAGGGCCCCTCGTGCTGTCGAGGCCTTTACGAAACTCTCCGTTTAAAGCACACACATCCATCCACCGTCACACACAGTTCGACTCGGGATCCTTCAAAGTTCGAACCGGCTGCTAGATCGGTACTCTTTAAACTATACTCGAACACAGCTTCCGCACTCTATGTAATCCTGGGATATCACATGACTCTGTGAGGCCTCCGTGGCAACTAGAGCGACAATTATCACGCAAAATACAAGACTAAGGTCGCAGTCACGTACACGGAGTAATGCACAACAACAGACTGACCGGAATGACAGCCATATGAGTTCTGAATAATAATAATCGCCTTACAACGCACTCCGCTTCGCGTTCCACAGAGTGCCTGGCACACTCGACGCACAACACAGTTGGCCGCAAACTGACCCTCAGACTGCTCAAACAGTCTCAGAACACTGCTCTGCGGCGAGAGAGGCAGCGGCAGCCGTCTTGAATGGTCTTTAAGTGGGGATTTTTGGAGGAGGAACCGAGCAGAGCCCAGCGCCACGCTTCCATCACTCGGTATTTCTCCATTACACACTCAAAAGCGCCTCCTCCTCTTCCATTCAGTGACAACCTGCGTGAGAGCTCTGTTGCTACTGCTCGCTAGCTGCACACACACTCTCTCTCTCTCTCGTAATCCTCTCACTCTCCAGGCATTTACTCTCGTCAGCCAGTACAGGCAGAACAGCAGGCCGGCGGGACTTGTTTTCGACACGGCCGACGCGCATGCATCGCTTATATCCATTCGCGTTCCTCCGCCTGCCTAAACTCAGGGCCCAATTGCAGCTAACAACAAGATTTCGCTTAATTACAATTCGTTGCAAGCAACGATCGAGACACGCTTTTCATCTCGTTTCTCGTTGTCGCTGCAAGGCGATCATTTCAATTCTTCTTGCTTTATCAGTACGGTACAAAGCTGGAACAGTTCTAATATAATCGTCTTTTTTGCATCGAAAAAAAAACGCTGTCTGACGCTGCACTGCGACGAGTAAGCGAAACATGGCCCGACTGTACCTCCGCATACCTTTTGTCTTCTTCCGTTCTTGATCGATACAAATCTACCGCAACATTATAAGCACGTAGTACATGTATCAATGAGATTGTAATATTACAATTTTCCGCACGCTACGCGCCTATAGATGGCAAAGTACGCGTTACACGTGATGAGTACAGATCAGTACAGATCCATGCGTGAGCACGGTACAATATGTATTCGCTGAGTACGCAAAGCATCTTAGCGTGTATCGCATAGGAGATACCGGTGCGATCGTGCCTGGTATTTGACAGCACTTGTTACGGCTTCGTTAACAAACAAATATAGAAGAAAGAAACTGATCTGAGAAACAATTAAACGATAATGTAACAACTCTCTGCACTATTTCAAGATTCCCCGTGTGTGTGTCCATGTTGTTTTCTCTCTTGCATGCCGATACAACTTAATCATAAAGTCGAAAATTAGTTTCGTGCGATAGATCCGTACGTCTTTGTAAAATCAATAGACAGGAGCGATCCTCGCCTATACCCTTTTATAGTAATCCTTATAACCTAGGGCAATCCATGCATATCCAGAGCACCTTCAACGGGTATTATCCTCAACCGTCCATCCTCGAATACAGCTCAATACACAAGTACCATACGTTACCAAGTGAAACATGCGAGCGTCCATTTAATCGGACGTAAATGCGGATCTGTGCGTATCCATGGTAGAGAATCGCACATTCTATCGAACACGTTCATCGAGCAAAAATCGTAACGATTGACATTGTCATTCGCTTGAGAGGGAAACACCTCAGTGGCACTCTCGGTTCTTATTTTTCTCTTCTGTTTTAACTCGTGGTAAGGAGACCTATCTTCAATTCGCTCAACCAAATCTCCAGTTTCAACAGTATACGATAAACACGTACAGTATACAGTACGTACACGAACAAGTACTTGCGAAACTCGCGATAACCCAGAGACTGTCCTCTTAATGTCATAGGCGCGCAGCAGTGAGTGGCGAGGAATTTGCGTCACACTCGGTCCTACGTGCTTCTACGAAACAACTGTCCCGACGCGCGTGTTGATCGATTCTTGGTGTGGGATGACGGAATTGGGCCAGCTTGAGTCGGATAAAACTGGGTCCCCTTCCACGCAGCAGCACCACGTAACTCCACGCGGGACGAAGTCTCTCAGTCCCTTCGATCATCAAGATCACATATCGCAAGTGACACACTGAATCGGATCTTTTTCTTCTTATCGTAAGGGGCTACCGGTACTGGACTTGCACTAATGCTATTACCATTAAACTGGACCCAATCGAATAATATGCGGATTGGTAGGAACGTAACGGGAGATCATTGGAAAATATTATTATAAGAAAAACGGCGAAGAATAACCGTATTCTATCGTATATTATATTTCACACTCATCGATTCCCTTTACTCAATGTCCGATCATACGTGTCCCCAAACAATATGATTGAAAAGAAAAAAGAAAAATACATTTTGAACGAGTCAATAGCGTGTATTCTGCCAAGAGTCAGGGTAGGATGTATTTGATGGTGGGTGGTTGGGATTGGAGTGTGGAGGGGAGGGGGGAAGGTTATTATAATTTTCGACAGCCAAAGTTGCTTGATATTTGTACCACCTCGCCCGACGTTAGGGGTAAAATTATAGATTATAATGGAATAACGGCACTGCCGACTGGTGGTTAGCTCATGGAAACCTGTCCGTTGGCCAGTAGTCTCTCGACGGCTGCATTTATATCCCCAAACGTAGCGATTAATGCTGAAAAGGATATTTCACATTTGGATAAGCCAATAAATTAATCCTTATTAATAATTTCATTATTAATGTATCTCAAAAGAGACCTATGTATGACAAATGTCACTTTCATTCTGCTTTGCGTGTTTATTAGCGACATCTGCGAGTATCCTTCTTGAAAATCATTTGAACATGGTTACCTTGCAAATTGGCATCCCTGTTAACGAAGCCCATTGCCGTCAGCTGTTCGAGCTGAGCCCTGTAACGTTCTTCGGGTGGAGGTAATGTCTGTCCGCTGCCCTCTACTCCTTGATTTAGCGCCATCGCCGAGACCTAAAATACATTCGATCAATTCATCCAGTCGATCCTCCAGAGCGATGACACTTCAAGATGCATTCCGAGTAGCACACTCTTGTCCTAGATCATCTCATTTATGCCATAAAGGCCTATCGGTGCAAGTAGCTTAAACTCTTACTCACCATTCGGGCCATAAATTGAGAGAAGGCGTCTTGCTGGTTTGTGTCCGTCGGTTGCCCCGCAGTCGTCGTTTGATGTGTCGTCGAAACGATTGGTGTTGTCGCAGTCGTTGGTACAGTTAGTCCCATGCTATAATATTTTTTATTTAATCATTTTAAAAGTGAAGAGCATATCAGGATTTCACTGACAACAATATTCTCACTTCTCAACAAGCTCCGGTGCGACTGTGCGTAATTGCTCCATTCCTTGTTGAATTTGCATGATGGCTGCCAGGGCGTCTGGATTGGTAACGACACTCTGAATTTGGGGATTCTGCATTTGCTGAATAAAGGCGGGCATCATGGCACGCATCTGCTCCTGCATCTGTGGATTCGATCTCAGGAAAGGATTCGCGGCAATCACTCTACTAGCCATTGCTGGATCAGCAGCCATGGCTTCCAGCATCGATCGCGTATACGGGGCATTTAACATGTTTCTCATCAGCTGAGGATTTTCCATCATCTGCGCCGCCAAACTTTGCATGCCTGGAGAATCTAGCAAGCCCCTTCCGGGTGTTGGCACATGTGGTGTCGCGGTGCCCTGGCCACTAGGCTCGCTCTGTCCCTGACTCCAAGGATTAGGCAAAGGATCTCTGTTTTCCTGACCTTGTTGTGGATTTGGCTGCGCATCTTGCGGATTTCCATTATCAACGAGAGCCGCAAAAGGATTGCGATCGTTTGCAGCAGCGGCCAGCATAGGCTCCTGGATATCGCGATACATGCGTCTTAAAGCACTGTAACCACCAGGAATACTTTCGAGATTGGAGAGGGCACGATCGTGTGAGCGCATCAATTCCTGCAGCATAGACGGATTTCGAGCCAACTCCATTGTTTGTCTATAATTAATGATAGTTTTAATGTTATACCTTAGTTAAATAATTATCAACTTCAACACAAAATTATCAAGATTACCATAACATAATCAATCACCACAAAGATCGTACCTTAACAAATCAGGGTTATTCAGCATGTGACTAATTTCTGGATTACGTTCCATCAGTTCCTGCATCTGAGGATTAGCTGTGACGAAAGTACGCATGTTCTCCGGATCATTCATGAGACTCTGAACCAGTGGGTTATCCAAAACTTGGCGCATCGTCTCAGGATTGGAGAGTAATTCTCTTTGCATACGTTGCTGCAACTCCATAAAATTACCTGAGCCCAAGCCAAGACTCTCCAGACCAACCAGACCTCCGAGACTGCCCAGACCAAAGGGGCTGGCACTAACATCGGCTACAGATAAGGAAGCAATGCATCAGCATTAGCTATTGCATAATTACAGAGAGAATGGAACGACAAGAAAGATTTTCATGAGTGTAAAATTGCATGCCTTGAGGCCTCTGCTGTGGCACTGTCTCTTGACTCTGACTGGTTGGTGCACGAGGTGCCTTTATCACCAAATGAACAGTCAAGCCATCCTTGACATTATGGGTTGTCAATGTCTCATGGTCCTTCATGATCTTTCCAGCGAAGATGAGGCAGAGCTGATCCGGCTGCGCATTGAATTTCTTCGAGACAACATCCTTGAACTGCACGGTACATGAAAAATGAGCTATTAGAAACGGAATGCCAGAATAGTCGAGTGATAAATCGTAGCAGTTGACGTGCGCGTGACTAGGAACTAGAAACTCGAAACTAAGAACCTGATGCGAGAAAAATTCCGAGCTGTCGAAGCCACCAGGTTCAATCGGTTAACTTACATCCTTGATCGTGGCATTCTCCTCAATCTCGACAGTCTGTTTTTCCTTGGGCGTTTTCACGTTTATCGTAATTTTTCTGTGACTCTCCTGGCCCTCTGCCATCTTGAATTGCTCGATGACTCGTTACTTTCGACGCTTTCGATTTCCGCACGTCGCAAGACCCCCGAGCACCGAGACGTCGAGTGTCGCTCGAAATCTTATTCAAGGGTTCGCTTTACGTCGCCTCCACGATTCCACGTCGTTCGACACGTCGAAAACGACAGCACTCGCTTGAGCTGAACAACACTATATGCCTCGCGAGCCTTAATTCACTCGTGTCGTGTGTTTTTAGCGGCTGAACACTCCTACACGTCTTACACCGCCGCGCGCCGCGACGACGTAGGATACGATTGGACACGATGCTGCTTTCGTGTAGTTTCGTGGGTTCTCGAGGATGAGTGGAAGGGAGAGAGAGAGAGACCGAATACATACGAGCAGTCAGAATGGATTGGTGTGAAACGTTGAAATCAAAATTACGCAAATTTTATTGGTTTCGTATATTCGTAACAAAGGACTGCTTAATGAACTTTGTGCGATCCGTAACGATGAAGTATCTTGAAATATCTGGCGGCAAATGAACTGTGATCTTGCAGACATTCACCACCTTCTTTGGAATTACAGAATCGTTTAGCAGTGAAAAAAGATACATATGTACGCACTTGGAGAACGATTTGTCGTTCTCGAGCATCCCCAACCCAGCTAATACTTCAACGGATCATTTCCAATATCTAGCACACATCTTCGTAACCACATCGAGCACGAATTGGATATGAGCAATTGTCGTGTCAACGTGACTCAGCGTAATTTCTTTTAACGCAAAACCACTTTAGCGTCTTGCACAGGTTATCCTCTGCTGACTCTTTTCCCCACATTGACAATTATTGCAGTTATTAGGAAAAATTATGGGTATAGTTTATTAATTGGTTGGAAAGTGTTTACTTGAAAGGCACACGATTTTTATAGTAAAGCTGAAAACGTAGAATCAGAACGGTCGGCGGGAAAGGTAATTCATTTATTAGTGAAAATCATTTTGAATCGTTTCTATGTCGTCCAGCTGGAAACAAACGTGCTTGACGACTTGTGTCAAGTTACTTAATGATGGATTTCTCTCGCGGGCTTCCAACCCCTATTACCAAGTGTGTGCGCCCCGGTCGATTATTTCTCCAGCGCGACTCCTCTTGCTTCGTATTAACCAACATCCTTCGATAAAGACAGTGCCTGACGCGTAGTCTACACGTGGCTTGTGAATATCAACCGTGGCTTTTTCTCGATGCTTTCCATTTTGTATGAAATCCTTCGACATGTTCCAGCCGTACACCTAGATTCGACAGTTTCAATTATGTAAAGCGTTTCGACTCCCAAAGAGAGAAAGAGAATGAACGAATGAATGAAGAAACAGCGAGAGTGTGCGTGTAAAAGATTAACAAAAGAAGTACCTGCGCTCTTAGCCAATCCCACAGGGCTGAAGGACAAACTCTTCTTCTCCTCGATTGAGCAACCTGTCAGAAGAGTCACCACGGGTGTTTCGGTATCACCATTTAAACCGACTTTCGTTTGCTGTGTCAGATAATGACAGCACTCGACAATTTGAAAATACAGCCATGCTTCCTTGTCCTTTGGCCGCGGTCCTTTGATCAATGGAAGGGGCAGACGTTCATGCGGCCTTTGAGCTCGTAGAAATCTTGAACCACGTTTTAATTGTGTCTCCAACCACCTGGTGGCTTCCCGTGCTCGTCCGCTAGTACGTTTCACTTCATCCAGTGCGGACACCACTGAAAAACGAAAAATTGACAAGGCTGTTCGGTTCTATGGAATGATTTTCGTGGCAGCCGAGAGGGAGAGAAATTATTAAGGATTGCATGAAATGACTGGATGTGACTTACCAACTGATGGAATTACCACGATGAATTCCTTTGCGTAAAACAGCCGCTTGAGTGACGATGTATGTTTGGCCAATGCCTCGTGATCTGGCACCAGATATGGTGACATTAACTTTGATCTCAAGCGACTTTCCAATGCGCGAACTTCGGCTTTCAACCACAACTTTCCCATGTGCCTCATCAGCGTTCCTCGAGGATGTTCCTGACCAGGTTCTCTGATATCTTTGCTAATATCATTCGGCGTTACAGGAACACTCTCCAATCCCACCATTATGAATGTCTTTGTACTCTCGTCGAATTCAATTCCAGAACCCTGAACCGAGGAAATGTAACGGCCAAACTCAATGAGCTTTAATACACGCAATAAGGTTTCCTCGTGTTTCGTCATCTTATTTCGGTGTAGAATCTTCCAATCTAGAGTCTTCTGTGAGTCTTTCAGAATCTTTAATCCTCTTAAATCCGTGTCCTCTGGCAACGGAACTGTCAATGCTAATTCCGTGGACCGATCCAGAAGCAGCATCAATGAGTTCTCCCTCTTCCAATTCCTCGAGAGTTCGGTGATATCCATGTTTATTTGATTGAGGAGCGCAATACTACGTCTCAAGACTGTATCGCTGCTTTTCGCACAGGCACGCACAATATCAGGATTACATCTTAACCAATCGTAGGATATTTTAATAGAGGCAAGAATTCCATCTCCGATCAAGTGCTCAAGAATATCATTTGGATTTGGTGCTTCTTTTTTCAATGCACAAGGTAGAATGTTGGCCGAATTGCAGGAACTCCCGTTGTACGTTTTATTCGAATCTGTACTTGTCGTTACGATAATCGTACTACTGAAATTTGTTATGGACTCTTCATCTTCCGGTTGCGTCTCTGTTTTATTATAGGGCATCCCACGTTCACACTTGGTCGAATCCTCGCTTCTTTCTTTACATCCAGCCACCCCAACAGCTTCTTCCGCAGCCGCTAATATTATCGGCAGATTCGAGTCAGTAGCCAAAGTGGCCTCGTCCTCCGTTAAATCCTCGGATAACCCATCATCCGATAAAGGATTTCCTTCGCTTGGAACATCTTCCTCGGTTTCGGAAATGTCCGAATTTACTTCATCACTCGAGGATTCCGCCATGGCGCCCTCTCCGTCGCTGACATCCGAATCCGAACTGTTTCTACGTCTACGCGGGCGTCGCAACTTTGTTAACAGACACTTTGATCTATCTCGAACAGTCTTTTTGATGCCGTTTGATAAACTCTCGACAGTTTCTACGTTCTCTCCGGTCTCTTTGTCATCGCAGGATTCCTTATTGTCGTTTAAATCTACGGATTCCTTATTGCAGCTCTCCACCATTACTTTCGTGTTCTCCGCATCGATGGGCTTATCTCTGTCATGGATATTGTCGGCACCTTCGACGGGACTACTTTCTTTTGGCACCGGAGGATTCGCGTCTAGGCTTGTCGTCACCTGCGGCGCTGACACACCTGCAATTAGTTTCTGCAAACTCGTTGTAGCAACTTGGAGAAGCTGCGAGAGTACGGCCAGAACGAATGCCACTATTCCCTGCGCTTGGCTCGAATTTCGATCTTGAACTTTTGAGATTGACATCAAACAGATCGCTACTATTTTAAATATCATGTCATCGGTCAAATGAGCAGGTTGCTCGCCGTTTTTACAATTTTCTAAGTAGCATTCTACGGTATCTGCGTTTAAAATTGCTGCTGAATTTTTTTTCGTATTTCTATCCTCAGTCAAACAATTCTCGATCTCGTTCAGTAGATCCTACAGAATTTTAAATAATGACAATTAGACTTTCCGCGTATCGCAACGTTATCTCATCTTACCTGACATTCACGATTTATTCGATCGAGATTTACGTTACCACTTTCCCAAAGCTGTAACAGCGAGAGCATTCTTCCCGCGCAGCGTCGCGGCGAATTTCCATTTCCGCCATCGTATGAGTACATCGCAATTGTTCTTTTCAAATTGCCTTCAGCTCCATCGAATGGCTCGGAACATAAAGTACTGAGAGGAGATTTATACATTATTTCATGTCTTTCTTATGTGTCCTCTATACAGGCAGTACCACAAATTATAAGCACCATTTTTTTAAAAAGGTTAATAATAACATCAGTTACATGCGCGCTGCTTTCAATTCCTCGTGAGTTCTGTATGCTGTATACCAAGTTTTTACCGATACTTACCATCTTATGTAATGATATGCAGCATCCAGACCATAGTTTGTACTGCCTGCCAGAGTCCCCAGCTGATTATGCGGCATTCCAATGTTAGGATCGATAGCGATTGCCATTTTGTAATATCTCACTGCGACCAATGGATCCCAACTTGAATCCAAATCCAATCTATATCTAGCCAAATCTCCAAGACATATTAAGCTTCTATGGACCAATCGTATTGCACATTGTTTTACTTCTTCACTTTGCAATTTAGGCTGTACAACCTTTCTCAAGTGCTACAGAAACAAATTGTATGCAATCATAAGGTCAGAATACATTAAAAAAAAAAAGTGTACTTACATTGGACATTTCACGCTCACAATCAGGATAAGTAAAATCAATAGCACCATACAAATCCAATCCAAACTCCAACTGTAACTTTAGAATCAGGTGATGGTAGAATCCCACACCCACTGCCAAATGAGTCGAAAGCAATGCCTTTTCTGTATCGTTCCAAGCATTACCCTAGTAATGAAAAAGATACAAATATATAAACAAAGTTCTCAAAAATATATTGATGGCTTCAAATGTTTATTGGCGAAAAGGGAATGAAAAGTATAAGATTTGGCAATTTTTCATTAAACAGCAATTTCTTTGAGTTTCTTTGAGTTACCTTTCGTAACCTCTTGGCCATAGCAACAGCATCGTAGAAACCTCTTCTCCACAACAACTCCTCTGTCTTTCGTCCATGGCCAATAGGGTCCTTAAAAATGAGCCTCTCGCAATAATCCCGTAATTTGACTCGCAGAGTTTCATTAGCTGATTCGAAAATCTCGACAACAGAGGTAATTTGATTCTTTTGCTGGTCGAGCCTCTTGGCAATGTCGGTTACGCCTCTACTAGAAAAAAAAAACAAAGGGGGGGAAAGGTGGCGCGTTAGGGCTTGATACGGCAAATGAACAATGCAGTAAAAGTATTTCTAATATATAAATAATTGAGAACAGAATAGAACGTTCACCTGTAAAGACGTTTCGCGATCTCGAGGCAATCAGTTGTTTTGGCTTCCGCGGCAGTATTACACGTCCTTCTCATTTTGCACGTATCATGTTTTCCTGCAACCGCTCAGTCCACTCGTCATTACTCATTTCCTCGAAGTCTCACAATGGCGACCACAATTTCGCGAATAAAATCAGCACGCAAGCTATCTGCAAACTAGCATGAAACTGCACCACTAAATTCGCCAGATTCGCAAAATTGCTTCAAACCGTTTCAGAGCATTCAGATCACTTCGATCACTTTTACCTTCAGCCCTCGAGACGTGGCGGAAACGAGCGATGTTTCTCCATATTGGAAAATACGACCAATTACAACCAATTGCAACGAAGAGAAGCATCCGACCAACAGCTCACGTTTTTCCAGCTTTTTCCGTCCACGGCACTGACGCCACTCAAGGCCACTGACGCCAGCAAGAAGTATGTACTGCCAAGGCATTAAACTGCATTCACTGGATTCAACAGTGCTCAACAGTTGCCTATGACTGACAGCTGTGAACATAAGTTGACACACACTCTGATAGGAACAATAAGCAGAGGAAGGGAGACAACTCGAACGGTCTGATTTGCTGTTTAAGCTGGTTTCAGCAGATTTGAGGTGCGTCGTTGCCGTCTCATGCCGACTTTAATATGTTATTCAACGATTTGCCGCACAAGGGGTAGCACGACAGAGCCTTCTAAGCCACAATTCCGTAATTGATTAAACAAGGTAAAGCTCGATAACGATGCGAAGAATGTCTCAATATATAGATAGCTCGAGTTAGGTGAAGTTAAACTTTCGTTTTAGAGTGCTGTTTTAAAATTCTTTCTGATAAATGCATAGATTCTAATTCCTTTCCTATTGGAATGGATACCGCAACTCCTACGCCGCAGGATCTTCAAAGGAAGCTTTACTTTTTGGTTGAACAGCTTCAACACATGGCCAGCGAGTTACCGCCTAAGTATCAAATGCGACTACCCTACGAACTCCTCTCGGGCCTGGCAAACTCCCTTCTGAACGACACTATTTTCGAGATAGTCAAAGGTTTGATGGAGATCCAACACGTGACGGAAAAGCATCTTTTCCAACAACGTTTGCAATTGCAGAATCAACAGAAGATTGAGATTCAAGAGGCTCTGAATAGAGCCTCTACAGAGCAGGAAAAGATGAGGGCTAAGAGTGCCCTCCGAATAAAACACAGAGATGAATTAAAGCAAACTGATATGAAATTGGTGTTACAATTGGATCAGAAAGTCTCCGACCAACAGGGCATATTGGAAAAGGCTGGGGTTCCTGGATTTTACGTGACAAATAATCCAATGGAAATTCAAGTCCAAATGAGACTTTGTGATTTCATAATTCGACTAAGTAAAATGGAAGTTCCTCGTTAATCGATTGGAAGTGCAAATTTGGAATTGTTTGTGACATTTGTACATTTTTCATTTATTAACAGAATCAAATACAATTTTTCAGTAACAAACCAGATGATCATTGTTTGTTATACGTATCGGCGCGAAGAATTCGTGCTCGCTCCCACATCGCAATCGTCGGGATAAATTATCGTTCAGTCTGCTTGACTGCCGTGAAATGTCTTTTTGTGTTGTCGCATTTAATAAGGATAACTACCGCGAGCAAATTATTAAACGGCTATCTCTCGACCCGCAGTTATCCTGCTCTATTTTGTTCCCGCGAATAGAAAAATCTGACTTACTGCGCGAACGAACATTTCAAAATGCTAAGATCTGCGACATGAGAAATGAAGTTATTATAACAGTAGGAGTATACAAAATGAAGTGTCACTTTGCCGCGACGATCGAAGACGTTCATACTGCATTACGGTTGCCAAGAAGAGCAGCGGATTGTGAGGGCGCAACATTGACGTCTATAGTGCTGCTCGTTCCAAGTGGATTAGCTGTGCGTCCTCCGATGAAACAAATCTTGTAAATGTCGTCGAAGGTGGAAGCAAAATGCACTTCGAGGCCATCCGTAATATACTTGGGCAGATCGTCAAAGTCCTTTTTGTTCTCCTCAGGCAAGATGATGCACTGAACGCCCACTCGTTTAGCCTATCACACAAGTGCCATAATCATTAACGACGAAGAATGCAGGTCAGGGAAAAGTGTGGAAATCGTAAGGAACGATAATTAATGAATTCCAGCAGGAATAAATTTTTTCGATTGACTTTACTCACCGCAATTGTCTTCTCCTTAATTCCACCGACCGGCAACACTTTTCCCATGAGACTAAGCTCCCCGGTCATCGCCACGTCTTGTCTGATGGACTGGTTCTTGGCTAGAGAGATCAATGCGGTGGCAATGGTTGTACCTGCACTAGGCCCGTCCTTGGGAGTGGCGCCTTCGGGAACGTGCAAATGTAGGTGAGAATCGTAAAGGAAGGTATTCCCGGGGTCTGTCTTGCTGAGAAAGTTTCTGGCGACTGTCATGGCAATTCTCGTCGATTCCTTCATGACTTCCCCGAGGTGCCCGGTAATTTCAAAACTTCCTTCGAGTCGTTTGCCTTCGGTTGGCTTTCGTATGCTCGTTTCGATGAAGAGAGTCGATCCGCCCATAGCCGTCCAGGCAAGACCCATTACCACACCAGGAGGCGTAATATCGTACATACGGTCGTGCGTAAACACGGGCTTTCCTACGAAATCCTGGAGATTGCTGTTCGTCACGTCAATCTTCTCTGCTTCCTTCTTGACAACTTTAAAAGCGACCTTGCGCGCTACTTTCTCAACATGCTTCTGGAGGTTTCTTACGCCTGATTCTCGACAGTATGACTTTATCAAGGTACTCAATGCAGTGTCCTCAATCATGATCTGTGCCTCTGTCAAGCCGGAGTCCTGCATCGCCTGTGGCACCAAGTACTGTTTTGCAATCGCAAGCTTTTCCTCGGCGACATAACCGGACATATCTATCATTTCCATTCGATCTCTTAGAGGTTCTGGTATCGTGTCTATCACGTTTGCGGTACAAATGAATAAGACCTTTGAAAGATCGACGGACACATCCAAATAGTGATCTAAGAAATTAGCATTCTGTTCAGGATCGAGCATCTCAAGCAAGGCCGATGCTGGATCTCCTTGATGACCCCTATAACAGAAAGACCATTTACGTTAACACCCACTGTCAAATGCAGATCCTCGGCAGCTTCCTTTTGGAAATCTACGTACTTGCCGATTTTGTCCACTTCGTCGATGAGAACCAAGGGATTTTCCGTCTTGGTTTTTTTAAGGCACTGAATAATCTTTCCTGGCATAGCTCCCACGTACGTGCGTCTGTGCCCTTTAATTTCAGCAACGTCCGTCATTCCGCCAACGCTAAATCGAAAATACTCTCGATTTAACGCCCGCGATATCGATCTCGCTATCGATGTCTTGCCCACTCCAGGCGGTCCGTGAAAACATAAAATCTTTCCTTGGGTAGACCCTTTTAACTGACTCACGGCAATAAATTCTATAATCGATCGAAGAATTTAATGAAAATAGTTTGCTCTTAGGCTTATTTCCTGTCTTGCTGGGAAAGAAATGGAAGGAAAAAAAAGTCCCGTTAATGTACAATGTTCGTCTTACCGAGAATTCTTTTTTTAATGTCTTCCATTCCATAGTGGTCCTTGTCCAAAATTTCGGCAGCCTGCTGGAGATTTAAGTTTTCCGGACTAGTTATTCCCCAGGGCATCGACGTCAGCCAATCCAAATAATTTCTTGTCACACTGAAATGCCTCGATCGTTAGAAAAGATGTTGGGGTAAACGCAAGACGTTACGAACGTCGCGAATAGTATATATTTCATAAGTTGTACATACTTGAATTCACTACTATGACTTTCTAGGAAACTCAATTTATTCAATTCCTCCTCGAGCACGTCCATCACCGGTTTCGGCACCGTTTTTTGTCGAATTCTTTCTCTATATTTCTCCTCAATTGCGTCCTTGTCGTCTTTCTCCAGGCCCAGTTCTTTCTTAATCACTTTCAATTGTTCGTGAAGAATATACTTTCTGTGCTGTTGCTTCACTTTCTCCTCCACCTCTCTCCCGATCTTTTGCTGGAGCTTGCTCAACTCGTATTCTTTTTTCAAAAGAGCCAGTGACAGCATCAATCTCTTCGGAATCTAAAAGAGAGTTTATCAAAGCCTCGTTGATTTATTTTCAGCCTATTAATTCTTATCAAAATGACCGTGTGATCTCATACTAACGTCCATTTCTTCGAGAACTTGTTGTAATTCGTGAGCGTCGGCTCCAGTTAGAGCAGCACCCAAGTCACTCAGGTAAACGGGATTGTCCACGACCCTCTGACCCTGATGTAGCATTTGTTGTAACGATTCCCGATACAGAGGATTCATACTGATGATATCTCGGATCGTTTTAATAAGTTCTTGAGTCAGTGCCTGCATTAGAAGTTCTATTACTTTCATTCTCACTTCATAGTGAAGCTATTTCAGTAACTTACCTTTATTTCCTCAGTTTGTCGAAATTTTTCATGTGTGACATTAACAACCTCTACCATTAATAATGGCTGAACGGACGTTTCCGAAGACGATGTCGATGTTTCCTCTGGATTGTTGGCACTTTCATTAGGTTTATTTACAGTTTTAACATCAACGTCTGTGTCTTCGACTGGTTCTTCTAATTTTACATTTTGTTCTACTGGCTTGCTCTCTACCTTCTTCCGCTGCGAAGCTCTACGACTTTTCTTAACGACAGATGCCGCGTCGTCTATGGGGACGTTAATTGTCGTATTTAATAGCGGAAACGTCAATTTCATTTCTGCATAAAGTAGGTAGACAACGATGCGTACGATTGGTCGATTCGATACGAATTTACTTTCTGTAAATAGTACAATATGACAATCTCCTTACCATGTGGTGGCTTCGCCGATAAATCTTCCAAAATCTGTCCAACTATTTTGATGCGCCTGTGTGCCATTACTACGAGTCTCAATCGATCTCCCAAATCTTGGACTTCGTGTATCTGAGCAAATGTTCCAATTGGATAGACATCATCCAAATTTTCAACAACCTCAGCCTCATTCCTAAATGAAAAGTACATGCCAAACTCCATATAAAAGAAATATGTCCTAATTCTAATAACATAAATTCTTACTCTTCGCTCTTCTTTAAAAAAATCCCAACATAAGGTTGATTGAGCTTAACCTTGCGTCGAATTAGATCAACCAGCACCGGATTGCTTAATTCTATGAGTTTTATGAACCTGGGAAAGACTGGATTTCTGTTTATTGCTATGACAGGTACATGTGGCCAAACCTCTGGAACAACAACGGTAGCAGGCAACGATGCCGGATACTCGTCTGTTTGATCAGCATCAGCCTCAACCTCTCTGAGAAGAATATGTGATAAGGTTACATGCAATTGTAGGTTATCGAAAAAAGATGAAAAAAATACTTTGGCGGATCCTTGTCACTTGGTCTTCTCGTTGAAAATCCTCTGAGGGACACGACAGGAACGCTCCGACAACGTCGAACGTTCTCGTTCAGCAGTCGAAGGTTCCACCGCGATTGAGTTAGTGAAACATTATTGCCGGGTCGTTGCTTTAGAAAGATCGGTAATTCACGAGTATTCAAGGAATGTTGACTTGTGCAAAACGTTCGAGCGAAAGACAGACGGTGTCGGATTATCGTTGGCAGTGATTTAGGGTTAATAGCCGTTACTAGTAGTCGCATTTTTCTTTACGATGAGCCGAGCTTCGTCTCATGCAATCCAACGTCTCAATGTGCAATAAGTGGTCTGTGTCAATGTGTCTCGTCACGTATTCTTCTACCGTCTGCTACTCCAACGCTAGTGCCGCTATCTTCTTCACAGCCACCACAGAACACCACAGCATGCTGGTTGATGCTGTTACTCACTGTTACTGGTTATGTTGTCAGTTGGTACGTCCAGTTACGTCGCGAACCGTCGCAGAACGAACGAACTCAGGCCAACTGTGGCCGACGTGGGCCGACGGTAGTCAGAATATGACGAGACCGCATGGATCCTGCAAGGGGTGCGTTCAAAAAAGTTATTCAGGGTAATTCGGGCACGTTGCGTCTCTTTTTATTATTGTTATTATGAAGAGAATAGAATGATACTTTAGTCAATTCTAGAGAGGTTTCTGAACATACCACAGCGGCGTTTGGAGGT